AAAAAAAAAAAAAAAAAAAAAAAGAAGAAAAAACAAAGCAATCGTCGTTCGTCGTTCTTATCGCAGATGAGAGATTTGCATAATGCCTCCTTGTTTTATTCCGGTCCTTGAACAAATGTAATCCCTCGTTCGAGCGATATTTCTATAAATATACCTATCTGATATTATTTCGAACCTTGGATAACGCATGTACGTACGTTGATCGTTAAAACCTCGCGACGAAACACACACGCTCTTCTGCTTTTATCGCGCTTTTCATTTTCGTTTCGATTTTGTTACTGTCGATGGAACGCCTCGGTTCATCGTATCGGAAAATAATTTGTCAGAGGGGAGCGCGGTTCCTTGGCTCTAATTTATTCGTAACCTTTCATCCGACCCGTTCGATTTTATACGATGGCCGAACGCGACCTTGCCAGATCAGAATTCAGGTCGAAAATATGTAAGAACGACGTGGCATCGATTAAACGGCTTCCTCTTGCTGTGACTCTCGACACACGAGTAAACGTGCCGCATTTTCTTCGCGGTCACGTAATGCCACGTTGTAAGGGCTCCTTTTCACGCCTTCGTTCTTATCACACGATTCTCCATTCGCGACGTTTACGTCTGATTAACAATTAAAACGCGATCGAGAACGGAATAGATAGATTGTCAAATCCTACGCGTGTAGCTGTAAAAGAAACGTACTTCTACCTTTCGACGATTCGTTCTTCAGCTCGGTGCTCGATCGAGAAAGAAAGAAACGTGCAGTTTTTAGATCGAAACATTCGTGAAAACGTTAAGAACGACTTGGGTCGCAATTTTCAGTTTCCTTCCAATTATTTTCATTTATTTTAAATAGGCTCGCGTGCGAATTAATGTCAATTAATTAGGATTTTGCACATGGCTCGGCTAATTTTCCAAAACGTTGCAGCCAGATTTTTCGGGGCCGTCAGCCGGCGTCCCCGGTGTGTCGACGGACACGCTAATTGCCAGCTTCATTATCGCGACTCGCGAGGCGGACGCGCTCGCTCGGCACCCACTGCGGCTACTCGTGTTGCGCAAACGCGCGTCACATCAGCGTTTTTCGTCGCAGCGGGCACCCAACAATCCGGACGAATCTTCGTCCGCGTCTCCTCGAACAATTGCCAACATCCGCATTGCCCCTCTGTGTCGTCGTCCACCGAAAGCATCCGGAGAGAAATGCTTCGTCAGCCTTCGCCGTCCAAATGATTCCGTCGTCGGTTTTCTTTCTTCTTCTTTCTCTCTCTGTCTCTCTCTCTCTCTCTTCGGTTTTTTTTTCAAAACGCGTTCGATATCCAACTCGTAATACGGTTGCCGATGGTGTAGCGTGCATCGTATTGCCGGCACGGAAACGATCGGCGAATAACAATAGCAAAAAAGGACCTTACGTCGCCCTTTGAAAGGCTAGAATCAACAGACTCGTGGGAGCGTGCGGAGCGTTCATTCGACATTATTGATTCTCACCCTCTCCTCTTACCCCTCTGTCTCTCCTTCAACCCTCCCGCCCTCTTACCCTCTTTCCACTCACGCTCTCTCTCTCTCTTTCTCTCTCTGTTTCACCCTAGACCGTTGATGAAATGCACTTCCAGACACGACCGCTCTCTTCTTTCTCTTTCTTTCCCTCCCCCCTCCCCTCTCTCTCTTTCCTTTTTCTTCTCTCCGTACCACGTACATACGTCTGTGTTTGCAGGTGTAGGTCTCCCCCCCTAGGTGATGCGGCTATGTGTGTGTGTTTGTGTGTGTTGACTTCCTTTTATTTTAGCCAATAATAGATGCGCGCCGGTTGATCGATCGCCGACCACGGTTTTCTGATTTATTGCTGTCACGCCCCGTCCCTCGCCCCCTCGCTGACCCACCGAGGAAATAGACCCCTGCGATTCGTCAAAGTGCTTCTCTTCTATTCGCCTTCTTTCCACAATCGAGAGAGATTTACGCGCCAACACGGGGGCTCTCGGCTCCTCTCTTAATTCTGGCCCAACTCCTCTCTCTTTCTCTCTCTCTCGAGATCGGAGTCATTTCTTTTTTTTTTTTTTTTTTTTGGGTTGTTGACAGATTTCGGGATCGCTCTCTCTTTTGACCAGTGGTTCTCAAGCCTGTTAAGAATTAACAGAAGGAAGCGCGTCCTCGCTCTTAAATGTTGAAACATTTTCACACGCTCCAGGTACCATCTGTTGATATCAATGGCTTCCTCTCCATTATTCAGGCGGACGTTTTGATCCGATAATCCTCGTTGTTCCCCGAATCTCGAACTTTCCCAAGTCACTTGAACCGTGGCATGCGGAGACGTTTTCAAGAACTTCGAACATCATCTGCCGCGTGTACAACATGCGTCGCGGTGTCGTCACGAGTAGAATAGTACAACTTTGTTCAGCCGAAGCGCGAAAATAATGCCTCAGTTAACCTCCGAATTAAACGTATCGCCACGTGCACCACATTTTCTGTGAATCACTCAATCTTTATACGTGCGATACGTTTGTCGTGCTCACATTAGATATTGTAATACAATAATATCTGATAGTAATATTCTAGGACAGATACTTTGCCAATTGCCTTAAATAGTCACCAGCGGTATACAGTTTGAATAGACGATATTCAAAATTATCGTATTATTCTCCTTGTCAATTCAAAAGTTTTTACTCATTAAATACTCACTGATTCAACAAATACTGTTAAAATCAATTTTTTATCCCATTTAAACTGAATACTAAAATACTAAAATACTAAAATACTAAAATATNTAAAATACTAAAATACTAAAATACTAAAATACTAAAATACTAAAATACTAAAATACTAAAATACTAAAATACT